GCCTACTGATGGGCTTTGGTCTGCACTCCGCACTCCCCCTCATTCACAATGATCCTATGGATATTTTAAAGGGGAAAAAATATAATAGACATGCAGAGAGGCCAACTGTTTATAAGGTACGTAATTTGAAAAGAAATGGGTATGCCAATCCTATCTTGTAAAGAGAAATGAAACCATCACAAACAGGGTACCTATTAAGTCCTCAATGGCATCTCCCTGTCCTGTTCCATTCACAATGGGCACAGCTATACTATTTTCATAGAAAAGAACATTTTCTAAATTATTACCCAAAACACATCCCCCAAGTCACAAAGCTCAAACTATTTGTCCTTCTTGCATCAAGTATCTGTCTGAATGTCACTGAACATGACCAAGCAACGAGTGGCAAGTCCAGACAAGGTAGCACTGACCAGTGCGGGCTGCACACATTTTCTCAGACACTTTGGCCTCGGTCGTGAGCATCCAGGCACGGCAACCTCGAAGCCCAGCACACGACAGAGGCTGGCAGGTTCTATGGTCATCAAGAACAGTTAATGTTTCTCCTGCGTGTGCAAGGGAGCACATCACTAGTTATTTCCTTGTATGAACAGCTGGCTCTCTGCATCTATGGATCCCACAGCATGGATTCAGCTAACTGCAGATAAAAAATACTCAAAGGGGTGGGGTGGGAGATCAAATGGTCAAAGCAAAGCCTCCCACCCAAGGCTAAAAGAGAGCTGCAAAGTACTACGTAGTGTTTATGCTGTATTAGATGCTATACATAATCTACAGATGATCTGTAAGTCTCAGAAGGACGTGCTTGAGTCACACGCAAAAATATACAACCCAGGATCTTTTTTAAGAGATAGAATCTCCCTAGAGAAGTCTCTGGGCATTCTGGAAATCACCAGCCCCCGCTACCATGGGGCAGTGACTAGGCTTAGAAAACCAGTCATTTCTTCAATAGCAAAAAACCTGAGCACAACTGAGACAGACTTTTATAACCTATATCAAACCCAAAACTCTTTCCAAATTTATCTAAATGTCCAACTTGAACTTCACCCCCCGCCAAGTCTATAGTCATTAAACCAGAGAGAAACAAACTTTAAATATTTAAATCCGCTACACTACACCATCAAAATAATACAACCAAGTCTTCCCCATAGGCCATGTGGCTTTGAAGGAACATCAAAGATAAATTGCTGGTGTTGCGTTGCTATTTTAAAATCAGCCCCAAGATTTCAACTTAGCACACAAGTATTTTTATTATGAGTCAGGCCATAAAAAACTATAAAGGTTGCTTATTAAAAAGGAAATAAATCTATTAAACAATGCTACTGACACAAACCCAAGCTCTATGGGGCTTCACGGGCTTCGCTAAGTGGGAGTCTATCTTATTTGCTTAGACCCATGCCAGCTTGGTGGCGGGCCCACTGGAGGGGGCGGTGAGAGGCAGAGAAGGGCCTAGGCCATTCAGAGGCTCTCTGC